TTCCAAATGAGGAAGATCTCTATGAATAGATATGGAGTGATTCATAGACTACATGGTTAAGTAAAAAAACAATGCAAACAACCATCTATCGTGTGCTGTCTTTTGTGGAAGGGGGAAAGGGAAGTAAGGTGTCCATGCGTCTGCTCACTGTGCAAAAATAAACACAGGAAAGATTGACAAGAAACTTTCAGGGTGAGTGGGAATAAGATGGAAAAAAGAGGGATAGGAACAGAGAAAAAAAGAAAGGGGGGAAACAATGCTTCCCTGGGTATACCCTTTAATATGATTCAGGCATTTGGAACCACACTGAAAAGAATCCCTGGGAATGGCGAAAACACCCTAAAGTGAAATTCAAACAGAAAGTAATGGGGGTGGGAAAGAACTGACGCAAGCAACTTCGGAAAATAATCTTTTGAGGAGAGACTGTTGCCTGAAAATCAAAGAACCTGTGAACTCTTTTTCATAGAGGTGTGAACTAGCGGTTCTGAAATTTCTGTGTAAGGTAAGGTTGAACAAATAAGTATCTTGTCAATGGAAACAAAATTTGTTGGAGGAGAGGGCTTAAAAATATGGAACAAGGGGAAGGCTAAAATGGACATTGTTGGACTGGAGTTGGAGGCATGAGCATGAAGTCAGGGTGACAGATGGATGGAGAGGCAGACAGAGATGAGATGTCTGTGTGCATATGCATGTATTTCCTAGACCTGTAGGGAATATGTTAAAAAATAAGGAACCACTTGGAATGAGCTTCTGCTGTTCAAATCTGAGACAGTTTGAGAATCCAAACAAATAAAGATAGCAATGAATTATAACCCACTGGATAAAATAAGAATCCATGAATATAATTGAATATATATTATATATATAACATAATATATATAATAAATATAATATATATTAGAGCAACATATTTTATACTTATTTATATGTGCTCATTATTTATATGTTTACTTAATATAATATGTATTTATTATATATGTACTTTTCATAGTACATATATACTGACGTAATAATTTATATATATATATATATATCTGATATAAATAAATAAAGGAGAAGGAAAGCTCCTTCTTGCAGTAGATTCTCAACTAATAAATATATAGAGAATGATGGAATTAGAAAATCACTATCATAGTAATAATTAATCTAGGCAAGAGTGAATATTAAAATAAGTGGATAAAACTTTGACAGTAATTACAAAATTCAACCACCTGGAACAAGATTAAGAGGAGGTTTCGAAGTCAGTGACACACTGCAGACCTTCCTTCCAACTGCTGTCAGCTGACTGCTTAAGCCATATTGCTAAGCACTGTGTCAGTAGTGGGTAAGAAGAGTAAGTATTCATTGAGTGTTCACTACATGACAGGCATTGTGCTAAGTGGGAATTTGGGGGCTTAGTATTCTGCATATATTAACTCACTTATTCCTAATACCAACTCAGTGAGCCTTTTTTCAAAATCGATATCCTCACCAATTTTTTTTTCCTAGTACCAGGGATTAAACCCAGAGGCACTTAACCACTCAGCCATAGCCACAGCCCTTTTTATTTTTTATTTTGAGACAGGGTCTTGCTAAGTTGCTCAGAGCCTCACTAAGTTGCTGAGGCTAGCCTTAAACTTGTGATCCTCCTGCCTCAGTCTCTTGAGCCACTGGGATTATGGATATGTGCCACCATACCCTGCTGGTATCCTCATTTTTAAGAGGAAAAAGCTGAAGTTGAAGTAATGAAAGATTTATCTAGAATCAAATCAACAAGAGACAGAGCCTCAGATTCCAATTCCCTGCCTTTGGCATTGAGTCCAATGTTGCCCTATCATGCGGTATGTCTCTGGGTCTTCTTAGAATTCTGCTTACGAAAACGTGAAGAATAATCAGACCATTGAGGCATTCTTAAACCAAAGCAGTGGTGGCTGCCTTTTTCTCCTTTTTCTGCCTCCTCATTTTCCTCACCTGCAAAATAGAGACAGCAATACAGTCACTTTTCATTTAATGGCAGGGGTGTGTTCTAAGAGCTGCATTGTTAGGCAGTTTTGGTTTTGTGTGAACAACATACAGTTACTTACACAAACTTACATGGTATTAGGTCCAACACTCAACACAGTCTCTTGATGTGAATGATGGATGTTGTTACATGGGGTATATGAGGCCACTGCCATCATAGCATGGCCTATTAGTTTAGTAAGCTTTTTGTTTAATAAGTAGGAGAACATGTTAAAATAATGATAAAAAGTATTGCGTAGTATATACATAAACCAGTAACTTATTCGTTTACTATCAAGTATTACATGTTGTTTGCAGTATATGTGCTATGCTTTCATATTACTGGCAGTGTAGTAGGTTTGTTTATACTAGTATTACCACCAACACGAGTAATGTGTGGAGCTATGACATGATAGCGAGAATATCACTAGGCCATAGGAATTTTCCAGCTCCATTATAATCTTTTGGGACCACTATCGCATATGAGGTCTATAGTCTGTTGTTGACCAAAGTCATTTTGCAGTTCATGACTATACTTAATGTACGTGTTCTTATGAGGACTAAATTAGATAAGGTACATAAAGCATATAGTACAGTGTGAAATGAGTGTCCATTAAATGATAGCAGCAGCATTGGTAATTGCAGTTGTAATGTTGAACTCCCTAGTAAGATGGAAAACATTTCTAAAAGACATCTCTTGCTTTGGGACTGAATTGAGGATCTGGGACTAGATCATAAAGAGCTCATGTATCATGAAAAGAAGATTACATCTTATTCTATAAGCAACAGAAAGCACTGAAAAATTCTGTTACTTGGAGAGATGTGATCTGGTTGGTAATTTGCAGAGCAGACCAAGGGGAAGAGAGAAAAACTTAAGACTAGGAGACCAGAGGAGGCTGTTTTCAAAGACAAGGCAGAAGATGATGGGGGCCTGGTGTGCTGGTGAGGAGGGGATATGTGAGAGACAGCCACACTCCTGGATGGGTGCTTGGCTTGGACTTAGCAGGAGAGAAAGGGGAGGAGCTTAGGTGGACCTTCAGCCTCAGGCCTGGGTGTAGCCCTGGTAAGGCTTGATCAGCATGCAGAGTAGGATCAGGCTGGAGACCTGGAAGGTGCCAGCTTAAGGTGGTTTGGAACAATCAGCAGCAAAGTCACGGTAGAAACTTGGATATTTACATCTGGATGAAGGACTCTGAAGATCCAAATATTCAGATCCACATTGGGAAAGAACTTAGCCCTGGAGAGTAAGTGAAGCTGTGGAGACAGATGAGGTCCCTCAGGGAAGGGAAGGAGGTAGAGTGAGGAGACAGTTGAAGATAGAATTTTGGAAACACCAATGTTTACAGAAAGAAGAGACCAAAGGAGACAGAGACAAGGAACACTCAGAAAGATAAGCAAGGTTCAACGTGGTTTTCTGCCATGGCACAGGCTGTGATGAAGCAAGGGAGAATTGAAAGGCTGCCTATGGGATTTGGAACTGGTGATCAGCAAGGGCAGGTGCCAAGTGCAGAATCCAGTTTGCCCCTTGATTAAGGAGAGACTGGGCCTTTATAGAGGGAAGAAATTCACTCTTAAATGCTCCCAGTGATGCAGGCATCTCACCTGCCAGCCATACACTCCCAACTACTGCCCTTCCTTACAGAACTGGAGTCCCTCTCCCCCCCACCCCTGCATCTGGTCAGCCCCCATCTGCCCACCTGTTCACTTCTCCAGAGAACTCCCCACATATGCCTGCCCACTGGGACCTCCATCCTACATTGCTTGTATGCTCCAGGATCCCCAAACCTGCTTTAAAGTTGGTTCCCAGGATGGATACTATTTTATTAAAACCATTTTTTTTTTTTGGTACTGGGGATTGAACTTAGGGGTACTCGACCACTGAGCCACATCCCCAGCCCTATTTTATTTAGAGACAGGGTCTCACTGAGTTGCTTAGCACCTCACTTTTGCTGAGGCTGGCTTTGAACTCACGATCCCCCTGGCTTCAGCCTTCCAAGCCTCTGGGATTACAGGCATGCGCCACCGTGCCAGGCAATGGCTTATTCTTTAGTAACGTAGGATCCTGTGTTGCAACTCGTCTTTATTTCTCCTCCTATTGGGTCGATGGTTTCCAACCAAATTTTTTAAATCTCAACCAGAACAAGAAATATACTCCTAATTATGATCAGTCTACACATACATGTATAACTGAAAGGCAAGTCCCCAGGCAAGGCATACTTTTACTATGGTAGCTGCACAGTAATATTTTCAACTCCATTCCATTCTACCCTGTTCTATTTCATGTTTTTAAGTGCTGGCCCTGGCCTACTACATTAATTTTATATCCCACAGAACTGATTTACTGTAATATGCCGTGCTGGGAGGGGATAAAAGAAAAAGACCCTATTTTTCTGAGTCCATTCCCTTTCCCTTCATTTAGGCCCCTCAGCACTGAGGCCAGCAGGCCTTCCCTCTTACCTCCTTTTTGTGGCTCTGAGAGGACACAGAACTGCTTCTATCACTAGATTTTAGCCAATCTTGGGATTATATGAATTTTCAAAATGGCTCACCAGGGGAAGGTAAGCAGCTATAATAGTAGAATTTAGAGATCAGTGAAGGAGACAATGGCTCACCTTTCAAATCTCCCCTTATAGATTACTGTTCCTGTAATTACTCATGAGGCATCCTAAGGCATTTTCATTCCATGCAGATTCCTTTAGGTAGCCCTAATACTACCACTCACCTGAACCAGTTAAACTTTCCCAGTATGTCCTACCTATACAGGCCTTCCCTGCATGGCCTACCTATATTCATACAGGCCACAGATTTCCACCTGACACCCACCCACAGCTAAACAACAAACGGCAGTTGTGCTGTTCTGGTTTCTATGCCCTCTTCAGCCCTTTCCAAAGGGAGATTGCTCCCTGAAAACCCTCTGAACCATTGCCTTCTGTAGATCTTTCAGCAAAGAACTTTTGGGGTTTTCTTTTTTTTTTAATTCTAGCATTCTCATTTACAATGTCTTTTCTGCTTCTACCTAGGAAATGCCAAAATTTGTGAATTCACCTTGACTACAAACAGGAGAATGTTACCTGAGGAATAGCTGAGGACTTTTCGTAACTTCAGAGACGTGCCTGCCGCTACCATAGGCACTTGAGTCCCTTGAGAAGTGTCCTGAAGGGCTCATTTGTTGCACACCTGCAATGAGCGAGTCCCTGTGCTGGGCCTCAGCTTCACCCTGGTGAACACAGTTCCATCCCTGGCCTCAACGTGCTCACACCCAGTTTAAAGATGAGCAAAGAGCAATGGGTCTCTCTCACTCCCGAAGAATTTGACCAACTTCAGAAATACTCTGAATGTAAGTAGATGGATGAATGGACAGACTGGGATGGGATTCCATCTTGCCTGGAGAGGGTATTTCTGGAGAACAGAGCAATACAATCATTACAAAGCCACAGAGAGCAAGGTCTGGCCTGACAGTTTCCATTGCCTTATAAACACAGAATTAAGGTCTTTAATATAAAAACAAAATATTTTTAAAAATATATAAGAAATTACCTTTAGGCTCTATAAGTAATACATGGCTCACCACAGAATTTGGGATATTCATGGAAGAAAACAGAGTGGGTTAAAAATCGCTGGTCAACCCTATGATCGTTTCAGATCACTCTCCTCCTGTGCATGTTGCTTTACATAGTTGAGTTCTAACAATGTACCTTGTTTTTGAAACCAGAGCTTTTCACCCAACACCATCATAAGCATTTTGTCAAATTAGTTAAACCTCTTCATTGCATAATTTTGAAGTGCTGCAATCTGTATGGTTTCCGTGTTACTCAGTGACTGACTTGAACACTTTTGCATTTGGACCCAAAAACCTTCTTTCAGTTAGGGACTGAACTCTGGTGTGTGAATCTCTCTTGACTTTGATCTGGGAAGTCTTGGACTTTTGCTTGGACTCTTGGTTTCCCATTTATTGTGCCCAGGAACCATTTCAATGCATTAAGTCAGTAGTGGAGAGGTCCCTTGACACAAGGGCATTTAGCTGTGCCCGCCATGGGTCACTGCTAATCCCGACTGGTGACAGGAATCTGCTTAGGCTGAGGCAGAAGCCTGTGTGATCACTTCCCTCTGCACAGAGTGGTCTTCATTGATTGTGCCATGGCACTGATTTTCTTGAGTCCTTTGTCTTGCAGGGTTGCCCCACCCACCCAATTTCCTTTCCCTTCCTTTTAATTATAATGGCAGCTTTGTAGATCATTGGGCCTGTAGCAAGTTGACCACCTGCCGGCTAAGGTTGTACAGGTCCCCTCCAAATGCCCTTTTGGTGGCCCCTCCCTCTCCCTCAGGCAGCCCTTGTCCACACCACTGATCTGAAAGTAAAACCAGGCCTCCCACAATTACCAGCTCTGCGTCTTGAGACAGTCCTTAATACCCCAAGCCTCCATGTCCTCTTCTGTACAATAAGAGGACTGAACAAGGTGTTCTAACCCTGTGGTACCATCTGGGACTAACATCCTGTGACGTCACATGGTCCCAGGGTCAACAAGAGCCCCATAGATCCTGATCGTTCTCCCTCTTGGTACAGTGGAGCCTGTGCTTTCTTTTGTCTAACCTTGATGAGTTTAAAGAAACTCTACAATGTATTGACAGGGAACAAGGAATCATCCTCTGGGGTAGCTTGAATTTAATTTAGCCTGCTCTATAGGTCAGCAAAGTATCAGCCCAACAAGGATGAAAAAGAAGCATATAGAAGAGTCTACCCTAGAGGGATCAGAATCTTGTTAGGGTGTCAGAAATGTGCTCCTGACATAAACAGAGAATTGCTCTAGGGCATCAGGAAGGAGGTGTTGGCTAAATGGAGCTTATAAAGGTACAAGGTACAAGGAATCCAAGGCCAGGGAAATCAATACAGGAGAGTGTGCCACACATAGGGGGATTCAAGAAATTTATTGTCTTCAGTCAATGGGGACTAGAAATCTAAAATCAAGGAGTTGGTAGGGGTGGTTACTTCTGAAGACTGTGAGAGAAGGACCTATCCCAGCTTATCACTGGCCATGTTCTCCCTGAGTCCCTTCACATGGTCCCTGTGTGCCTGACTCTCTAAATTCTCCCTTTTTATAAGGACATGGTTTTATTGAATTGGACTCACCCTATTCCAGTATGACCTCAGCTCAACTAATCACATCTGCATCCACCCTATATAAAGTCGCATTCTGAGATACTGGGGATTGGGACTTTAATATATGAATGGGGGGGATACAATTGAACCCATATCAGATGATTTAGCTGAGTGAACTCTAAGGGAGAAAGATTTAAAATGCAGATAGTAGATGGTAGATGCAAAGGCAGAGGGGCCCAGAGGGAGAGGGTGCCCAGGGGGTGGTGAGCAGAAGTCTGGGCTGGATTGAGAAAAGGAGCAGGAGGATGAGGATGGGGATCTAAGGAGGGACAGGGATAGTAGAGGCCTTGGTCTTGCATGTCAGGTATGTGCCTTGGATGGAGGCGGCCAACAGAGTTGTGAACTGGAGGCTTTGAGCAGGTGGCTTGGATCAGGGAACTGGCAGGTCAGGAAATCTGGCAGAGTCCTTTGGGCAAATCTAATTTGAACTAAGGGACAAGGCTGGGATGGCGAGTGTCATAATGAAGAAATGCTGATTTATGGGAAATTGCAGTGGATTCCCCATTAAGGAGCCATTGAAGACACCTCAAAGGCTGAATCTGTAGAAACTGGAAATAGTGGGCTACAGGGCTGGTGGAAACCATTTAGGAATGTTGACTTTGAGAGGCTGATGACACGTCCACTTATGCATTCATGTGCCAGGCTCCAGGGAACCAAAGAATGAGATGCAGTTCCTGTTCCCAGAGAGCTCACATCCTTGTGGGGGAAGACAGACAGGACCCAAACAGTGATGTCACAGTATGGCAGGTGCTGAGAAGCCAGGAGCCTGGAGTAGGAGACCTAGACCGGCCCAGCGGGGGGCTTCCTGATGCAGAAACATACTGAGAGCCTGGAGCACATGAGATAGGATGAAGTGGAAGAAGAACTAGAAGGCCAAGTAGGGCCCCATCACAAGGATTCTGCCTTCTAAGTGAGAGATCCTGTGTGTGGTAGGTGTGAATGGGAATGAGGGGTTAGGCTACATCTTTGACTTGTGACTCATGTGTGGAGACAAGAGGGAAAGAAAAAAAATCAGAATTAAGACACCTTAGAGAACCAGAATGTTGGAGAAAAACCAAGAGGCTGGAGAACGTAGCTGAGGGTATATCCCCCGCTGGGGGTCAGTGAAGTAAAGGAGTCAGAAGACACAGAAAGGCAAATGGGTAAGAAGGAGCCCAGGATGGAGGGAGTGAAGGGAAGGGGGTTCCAGATGTGGCAGAGCAGTTGAGGAGCAGAGGGAAGGGAGAAACCAGAGTATTTCGTAATAAGTGGCTCTTCCCTAGCTTGGATTTTTTTTCTTCAGCCATCATCTTTGTCCTGTGACCCTTTCTCACCCTTTCTATGTCCCAGGACTAGACAAGGTACTCCAGTCCTGTTGTTATAATAAGAGAGGGGGAAAAAAAAGATAAAATTCTTGGAAAATGATTAGTTCTGAGAGGAAACCCTGAAAAAGTCACTTTTAGATGCATTCTGGTATTCAGTCAGATCACATTGCCATAGCAACCGCTCTTCCACAACCACATAAACAGGAGCTTTACAATAGCGAAATAATGAAGTGTACAGCCCGAGAACTGAGAACTTCCTCCCATGAAGTTACCAAGTGGGAGGGGCTCTTGGAGTGCTCCATTTATGTAGCATAAACCTGCATATTCTCTGGTGGCTTTCTGGGAGAGGAAAATCCATTCTAAATCTGCTCTTGGAAAAAATCAACCAAGTTATATTGTTATATTTTGTGCCTTTACGAATATGTAAAAACAAATTCCACTATTACATATAATTATAATGCACAAATGAAAAAGAAAAAAAAAGATAAAAACTGCTTGTGGAGGCATAAACTTGGGAATATACGTACTATACTATTTTGTATGCTGTTTTCTTCACTCTAACAGTGTTCCAATTATCTATTGCTGCATCAAAACCACTTCAAAACTTGTGGGTTTGAATAACAAGTTGGGAATCTGCACAGGACACAATGGGCATGATCAGTCTCTGGTCCACATGTTTGAGGCTTTAAGTGGAACAACTCAAAATGACTAGACCATTGCGTGGTGGTTCCTAGGTGTAGCCTCTCTGTCCAGCACCTCCTCATCTTCCAGGGCCTCTGCATGTGGTCTGCTTCTAGCAGGACTTTTAACATGATGGCCCAAGACTCCAAGAGCAAAAAGGCAGCAGCTGTCAGACCTTTTAAACACCTTGGCTCAGAGGTCCTAGAATGGAGCTCCTTCTACATTCCATGGTTTAAAGCCGTTCCAGGCCTGACCAAGATTCCATGGATGGGGGAATGGATTCCATATCTCATAGACAGTGGCTCACAGTGAGAGATGGGGATGGCGGGGATGGACAGCCACCATCTTTAGAGACCATGATTCCAGCATTCAACGAGCTCTGGGAGCATGATTTTTAGTGGTTGCAGAGACTTCTTTTGAATACATTTACAGTATTTCATTTCACCAAATAAGGTATTACAATTTTAGAATGCATTAACACACTCATTGTGTCTAGTAAGGCAAATTGGGGTCCCCTCCCGCCCTACCCTGATCATGTCTCTCTGGACATAAAACATGTATTTATGGGTACTACAGTTTACAGTGGACAATGGATAAACCACCTGCTGGCAGAGTGAGGGGCCCCCAGCCTGATTGTAGAAAAATAAAAATACTGTGTGCTTTTGCTGGGGAAAGGAAGGAAAAAATGTTTGTTGTATTAAAATATCTCAGTGCTTTTTGGAAGAAGTGCTAAATTAATTGTGAATGGTTTCAAGAGGTAGCCCTGGGACTAGTAGGATGAAATCATAGGTCACTCCTGTCCAAGGTAGAAGATTGGCTTTCAAGGGTTGAGTTTCCTTTCCCTGGAAATATGTGGCAGAGTTGGCCAAGGCACTATAAGAAAGACATGAGCCTTAGTTGTCTGGTTGATTCAATGACTTTCAGGAGCCTTTCCGGGTTATGGTTTCTGTGTTTATAGCAAGTTTCTTTTCTACTTTAGAGAGAATTGCACATGGGGACCCCCATGATTGAACCTCTTTCTGAGAATACTGTTGTTTGTTGGAATGGGGGGAAATTTTTCTAGGATTCATTTGTTTGTTTTTTAAAAGTTCCATGATTTGTCAATGACAGAAACTATTAGTTTTTTTCAGAAAGGAAAAAAGTCGGTGAAGCCTCAGTTTGACTTTTAATTCTATAACATTTCCTTCATCAGCT